CTGTCCAAGTTTGGTACAAATCCAGGATAGTTTAAGAAAGTTGTTAAAATTTTAAAAACTTTAACCACAGAGTGAATGTAATGTTAACTGGCAGAAAAACTAAGTCCATTTATAAGTAAAATACGGAAAAAATGGATTTTTTTTTATACAAAATTTACTTCTGGATACTATCTTATGATCATAAACAAGCTTCTTTCCAAGTTTGGTAGAAATCCAGGATAGTTTAAGAAAGTTATTAAAATTTCAAAAACTTTAACCACAGAGTGAATGTAATGTTTCCTGGCAGAAAAACTAAGTCCAATTATAAGTAAAATACGGAAAAAATGGAATTTTTTTTTTACAAAATTTACTTTTGAATATTATCTTATGATCATAAACAAGCTTCTGTCCAACTTTGGTAGAAATCCAGGATAGTTTAAGAAAGTTATTAAAATTTCAAAAACTTTAACCACAGAGTGAATATTTGTGGACGCCGCCGACAACAACGCCGACGGAATGTAGGATCGCTATGTCTCGCTTTTTCGACAAAAGTCGAAGGCTCGACAAAAATGTATCTAGGAAAGACAATAGTATACATTGTAGAACATGTATCCAAAAATATGATAATAAATAAAACTAATAATCTTTGGGAACTTATCAGGTAACACTTGTGAATATGGGAAACCTCAGCCAGAGTCAACTAGGACTGACTAATAAGACAACTAGTTGTCCTGTTCTGTCAATAAGGCAAAAAAATATATATATGTCTGTTTACAGTAACCTGACCTACCCTAATTTGATCGCCAACCCTAAGTTATACTATTTCTGATACATTCCAATTTTTTACAATCATGAATATGACAGCTGTTTAAGGAAACTCGCGACTTGTGTGTTGAAATAAACACTTTGCCGCCATTTTTTTACAATCAATAACCAAGGGAAATATATTCCAATCATTTAAAATACGGGTAAACTCGACCCATGGACAACCTCAAACCATGGCAATATGGACTGCACGACTCAAAATCATGTCGCAAAAATTAAAATGGAAATACTGACCTACTTACCCTATTTTTTTTATGATGTAACCTAAAACAGACATATATATTTGTTTTGGCCTAAGTCAGACTCTCTATACTCTATAAAGTCAACTCAAACAATCTATATAATATCAGCCCAGACAAAGTATAAAAAGAGAATTTGGACTTTTAGATAATTCAATGTTATATCTCAATGTTGCTGCATTTGAAATAGAGTGTCATATCAAAATAATTAGTTTAATGTAAATCCAAATTTCTACTACCGGTATATCATGGTGATTATTTTGTACTTTACCTACAAATGTAAGTTTAACTACTATTCAGAAAAAAATCGATAACAGCAATTACAGTTACAGCAAAACGTCTAAAAATAATGTTTTTAAATATTAAGACTCTTAAAATTTTAACAAGAGTGCACACACTGAACTGTCTCACCTGTTTAACTTATCATTGAATTTTTGTTGAAAGTCTGTAACATAAAGTTTTACTTCAAGTATCACATAAACTTAACATTATCTATGTTCTATGATAATGAGGTCATGGTGAGATGAACCAGGCCAGACAGACATGTAAACCTTAAAATCATTCCATACATCAAATATAGTTGACCTGTTGCATGTGTTGCTTATAGTATCTGATAACTGAAAAAATAACAAAACTTATCATTGACCAATGAACCATGAAAATGAGGTCAAGGTCAGATAATACCTGTACACCTTACAATTGTTCCATCAACAAACATGGTTGACCTATTGATATTAGTATTTTAGCAAAACAACCAAAACCCAAAATTCTTACATTGACCAATGAATCATGAAAATGAGGTCAAGGTCAGATGATATTGGTTAGACCGACATGTACACCTTACATTCATTGCATACACCAAATATAGTTGACCTATTGCTTATAGTACTTCACCTTACAATTGTTCCATCAACAAACATAGCTGACCTATTGCTATTAGTATTTGGCAAAACAACCAAGACCCCAAATTCTAACATTGACCAATGAATCATGAAAATGAGGTCAAGGTCAGATGATATTGGCTAAACCGACATGTACACCTTACATTCATTGCATACACCAAATATAGTTAACCTATTGCTTATAGTATTTAAAAAACAGACTAAAACACAAAAACTTAACATTGACCAATGAACCATGAAAATGAGGTCAAGGTCAGACAAAACCTGCTAGACTGACATGTACCTATCAGAGATGCAGATATTTTTTTTTCCTGTCAGACATTGGGTCCTGCCAGTCCTATCAACTGTTTGCCAGACCTACTTTTTTTGAAAAAATAATTACTACATGTAGTTCCCAGTTGGATTAAGATACACCTTAAAACCTTGACTAGAACGACCAGGTTAAATAAGGATATGACCATGGGGTGGTTTAATGACTGAGACCACATTCAATTTAAGTTATCATGCAACGTCAAATAAATGAGAATGTTGTACTACACTTGCCAATAAGACAACTGTTCATTAACTTTATGGATAGTTGTCCTATTATTTGGCATAAGAAAATTGAGATCAAAAACAAAAACAGTGGCAAATTACATTTACATCAAAACGAATATGTGTGTTCACACATTAACTGAAATGAAAAAATATACTCTAAGAAAACTAAAATAGTACTTGTTTTTAATTTAATTAACATAAATCTGGTCATTAGTTGTCTTTTGGTTTTTAATGCTTTTTAGTTTGCCATCTATTGTTCCAACTGATTTAATTCTCGCACCACTGATTTGTCATATGGAGACAAAACCTGTGTTTGTCGTATTAATAACAAAGTTCTCATTAGTCGCTTATAAATGCCCTGGACGCATAGTTTTCTGTCTGGACGCATCATTGCATGAACCTTGTGTCCGAGGGAAGAGTCCTGATAACACTTGCTGAGTATTGTAATCATCAATTGGATAAACGCAGAGAAGATCGAAATCCATTTACATGTACATCAGCACGTTTACTTAAAACCGACAATAAATGTGTCATTAGAACTTTTGGTTTTCAATGCTTTTCCACTACATAATTCCTTTGGAAGCCAAGGTAACCAGGACCAAAAGAAATTTAAATTTTGAAAGCCCCAAACAGTAAAAATATTTGCCAGTCATTGGGTCTGACACAAAGACTTCATTTGCCGGACCTCCTAAAATTCTGTCCCCTAGGTCTGACGATTAGCTGCATCACTTGACCTATTAAAATAATTTGAATAATTCCATACACCATATGTAGTTGACCTTTATGTTCTGCTTACAGTATCTGAGAAACGGACCTAATCACTGATCCATGAAATGAGGTCGAGGTCAGGTGAACCCTGTCTGGCGGACATGTAGGCTTTGCAAGGAACCCATATACCAAATATAGTTATCCTACTACTCATAACAAGTGAGAAATTCACATGACAAAAAAATTGTAATTTTTTTTCAAGCAGTCACTGAAACATGAAAATGAGGTCAAGGACAGTAACATAAGGTATCTGCATACAAGGACGAAGCTACCTTCTGAAATATAAAGCTTAATACAAATAGTTTATGCCGCCACTGGAAAGTAATACCTATGTCTCCCATACTGCGACTTTTGTCCAGGCGAGACAACAACTAATGGATTTTAACCAAAGAAACAAAAATCTTTTTATAAATGTAAAAAATAGTTTGGTATAACATGTACCATGTTTATTTTGGAATTATAGTTATCTCGTACCATTGTAAACTCGTACCAATGTCAACTCGTACCACTAAAAAAAACTCGTACCAATGCAAACTCGTACCACTACTAACTCGTACCACGGTAAATTCATACCATTGTAAACTCGTACCAACTTATTTAAATGCATTCAAATGGTGTTTAATGATGAATATATACTTTAATTTCACTCAATACCTCTTAAGTCTGTAAAATGTATATAATTTGAAATTACAATGACCAATTTGTAGCTAATTTTCCTTGTCTAATTGGATAGAGAAAACCGTGGCAGATTGGCTTTGTTGTCTTCCTTGAATAGACTCTTTTTTAAACTTTTACCGACAACTATTTGACTTAATTTTTAATCATTCCAAATCAGTAACATTGAATAGTATTTTTCTATTGGTTCTAAAAGGAATTTTATTTAATGAAAGAATTTATTTATTGTGTTTTAAAGGTTTAAAATTGTTTATGACCAACAGTTAGAAAGTATGAAATTTATTTTTATACAATATTCAGCACATTTTAGCAGAATATGATCATGCTAATATGATTAAACAAGTTGATTAGTTAATAATCAACCAATAATCACACAATCAAAGGAATTTAATATATGTATAAGAATGGTAATTAAGAAATTACATTCGTATTTTTGTCTAAGTTTTCATTAAAATCTGGTATAAAATTCAAAGATATTTTAATTTTTTGTATAAAGCTTAAAAAAAAAAATAATCATAAAAACATTCGTATTTTTGTCTAAGTTTTCATTAAAATCTGGTATAAAATTCAAAGATATTTTAATTTTTTGTATAAAGCTTAAAAAAAAAAATAATCATAAAAACATTCGTATTTTTGTCTAAGTTTTCATTAAAATCTAGTATAAAATTCAAGTAATTCAACTTTTTTTATTTAGTTTACCAAAAAAAAAAATCATAAAACATTCGTATTTTTGAATATTTTTAATGGTACGAGTTCTGATTGGTACGACTTCCCAGTGGTACGAGTTTACGTTGGTACGAATTAACTTTTTTGGTACGAGTTTACGTGGTACGAGTTAACAATGGTACGAGTTAACTTGCTTCCTTTATTTTGTATTGTGGTTGTCAAGTTCAAATGATCCAAAGGTGGAAATATACCATATTGCATATGTAAACGTGGGGTTTTGCAATAGTTTTATGGGGGATTCAGCAGACCAGCAATTGCAGCCCATCCAAATAATTGTGTGAATCTTCTAAAACGTTTACTATAAAAAAAAAAAATCCCTTGAATAGTCATCTTTAAAATTGTTAATTACCGCTTCTCTTGCTTGATTTGCAGTTCTAATCGTTTGGTAGCTTAATTCTGACATTGTACCATTCATGTTCAAGTTCCTTCAGTTGAGAACATTTTCCAAATCAGACACTCATCCGGTCGCGAAGAATAACAAATATGGTGGACGTCTGGTAACGTGAAGTTCTCGTAGATTGGTATTTAATCGTAATTTTCTTGATGGGTAGCTGTTTTTTATTTTGAGTATTTCTGAGCTGAAAAATTGGAAATAGTGTTGTCAAAATCATTTTTTATAACAAACTATACATATCAATTCAATGAAAAATATCTTTATTGAACTAGCGTTTTAATAAACGCAAATTATAATGTTAGTGAGCAGGAGTTCAAAAGAACCGTTAAATCTGCATCATTCAAACGCTTATAAACAAAGAGCACCTGTCAAATCATAATTAGAGTAATTATGTAGATTTCTGGTACAATTTGGTCTTAAAAATGTATGTCTTCTATTAGAATATTGTCATATTGATTCATTTTATGTACAGTTATCTCACGCTTCTCTTACCTGTTTATAGAGCATGCAGAAATATATTCTTGTGACAAGTTGTGTCAGTCTTATATTGACATGAACTAAAACCAAACTTCAAAAGTTTCAACTGAGTTATAAAACAACATGTTAATTAACTTGAAACATGGTACACACCAGCCTGTGGCACTCTGTGATACTGCCATTCTCTGTTGCATAATGTATAATAATATAACAGAAATAAACCAAGAAATCTGGAGTTACCATATAATTTAAGGAAACAGCTTGTAGGTTAACCTGATACAATGTAATTGAGGCCATCCCTTTGAATACATTTATCAATCTCTCCCGTTCATGACTGTAGAGCTGCATAATATAAAGACTAAATTATTCTGATTACTTGTACATTTGTGAGGGTATCGGGTCTGTTCGCCCTAATAACATGTTTGCCCATACATGTAGGTTCTGTTCACCATAAGTACGTTCACCCTACTTTCATAAAAAAAAAATTAAATATTAATGGTTTAAAGGTTTTACATGTATAAACAAATTCAGATATTTATATGGTAAATATTAAAGAAAATATATATTTCTCATGATCAGAAGTCATGAAAAAACATGGAAATATTTAAAAATTAATGGCTTGTTTGGAGCATTTATTGGCTTCAATGTTATACAATGTAGATTTGTTTTTATTCAGAATTACTTTTAATGACTGTTGATAGTAATTTAGAATGCCAATTATGTTTAAATATCATGTCTTTGATCTCATTGGTTGTTGTATTAATTTTCTTTGGTGGATTAATTACGAAAATTAAAAACATTTTTTATTAAATAAACTAGTCAGCTTGGTAACAACAATGAGGTACAAATTGTGATATAAGACAAGTCGGCCCGGGAGACAACTCGGACCGTCTACAATGACAATTCAGACTAAGTATAAAATTAGAGTTTTGACGAAATAAATGATTTAATGAAAAAATCTGTGTTTGATGAGAAGTCTCTAATAAAGTTTAATGCCGATTTTGAGTATATAAATGATGAAAAAGACAACTTGGACCGTCTATGAAGAGACGTCTATATAGACAATTGAATGATGATCCCTAGATTTTTGATTTCTGTTGTTTGAAAGCTGTATGAGTAAATAATGTTTGTAATGTTTTGGTAGATTCTTTTTTTATATATATATATATATATGTTATATCTTGGAGTATTTTAAAGTACTGCAGTTATTATTCCAAGCATACTCCAATTTTAAAATAAAACTATAATATTATTACATATATTTCATCAAAGAATAATTTCAAGTAAGGTAACAAGTATGTCATTTACATTAGAAACAGTATTGTCAAAAGCACTAAAGTTCAACAGTACGATTTATCTCATAACCTAGACATTTAAAATAGTTCATAAAACCATAATATATAAAACAAATTCAATCCAGACTTTATTTTTGCTTCAATGAAGTTTTATAATAAATTGATAAAGATAAGTAAAAATTTGAATTCACATTATACAATATGTTTTATCATGTTTTGAAAATTCAGCAACATGCAAATGATATTGTCATGTAAAATATAACATTTCATAATTTATAATCATTTAAATAGTTCAAATCATCTTTAAATACTTTGTCTTTTTTTGTACTCATTATGAACACATGATAGCATAATAATGCTTAATTTACGAATTAGATTTAAACAATTTTTCTATGCAAATCCATAAAATCATATGCTTTTAAATTGTCAATAATTGTAATATTCATATATATTGGATTGCTGAAGTTTTTCTGTGCATTTGCGTTTTGGTCGACTTGGAGATAAAATCATATCTTCTATGTCAATATCTATATATCATAAAAGATAGATTGATTCAGATCAATTAAACTGGTTCCTTGAAAATTATTCTAATTTTAACCCATTAATTTATGTAAACAATAAACCGGTCTAATATAAACAAAACAACAATATCAAACGCTTTTACACTATTTTCATCCAATATTCTCTAGTGAAAAACAGTTATCTGGAATAAATACACGGTGGAATGAATTTACGCTTACAATTGCCCTTTATAGTCAATTTTTCGTAAATTTTTGTAATCTTTTACAAAAATCTTCTCCACTTAATCTACTGGGCCAAACATGCCAAATAGAATAAAACTCAGCCACAATTTTCAATAGGGTATCTTGATTGAAAAATGTATTCCCGATGACCCTGTCATCCAACCAACATGGCCGCCATGGCTAAAAATACAGTACACACAGAGAGGATGTAATCTCATACTCCCAACACTGATTCTGGTGTAACACAGTGTCATATTGTGAAACACAGATTTCTCTCCCAAAAAACACCAAGTAATTACTCCCATCTGGGAGGGTTTTATGACCTGTTGATTGCAGGTAAGAGTAATAAAAATCAACAAAGCATGACTGCATGGTCTGACAGTGACATAATTACAGGTCAACTATTCTCTCACTTCTTCCTATTTCAATCATTTCCTATTTAGTTTTATTTCTGAAAGCACTAAAAAAAGGTTAACGAAATGATTTTTAAAATTTTTATACAAATATGTATTTTTAGATTGGAAAATTATTTACATTCTTTCATAATCTCATAATCAAGAATGGCAACTTGATATTTACAATAAATTGTATTTATAGTCAGTTTAAACATATAGATATTAGTATATACATGGTTTAAAAAATAATAGTAATGATACAAAAAAAAATAATGAATAAAATAAAATAATGTAGATAAATTACATATATATATTATATTTATATAATCTTCCTTTATTTCTTATCATTTAAATTTAGAAAAAACGATTGAATAAATTCAATTAAAATATATGTCTTTATTTTCTATTAATAATACTCCACTTACAGGTGATGTTTTGTTTGTTTCTTAGGTATGAAAAACCAACACTGTCAGAACAAATGCTGAATATAATTTTAATAAATAAAGTTGTACAGGATTCTTTAATAAAATCAGATTATAATATGTCTCTGATTAAATTTAACAAATCTCACACTTTTCATCATTTTTGTGACTGTCATTTAATGACAGGAAACACAAGAAATGTTTATTGTAGTCATCAACTACTGGCACAATTCAAAGGTAATCATAGCAATAAAAATCATGTTGTTGGGAGAAACCACACCAAGGTAATAAACAATTAAGGAGTTTTAGGGAGGAATTACTCCAAGTTTCTCCCAATTTCCTCCCAAGATTTGGAGAGAGTTGCTGGAGTTTCTTGGTGTGACACCAAGTTTTTACACAGTGTAGGGAGTATGAGATTACATACTCTCTGTGTGTACTGTATAACATAGGGGTTTACTATTACAATTTCAAATGGTCACAACTTGAAAACAAATTTAAATAATGATAAGGGGTCTTCAGTAACTATTGTAAGACTACAATGGGATGACCTGCTTTTAATTTAACTACTGGGCCAAATTTAACCAAACTTGGCCTCAATCATTATTAGGGTATCTAATACTATTAATTATAACTTTATTTTACATGATTTCCAAAACAACAGTAGATACAGGTGAGCGACACAGGCTCTTGAGAACCTCTAGTTATAGAATGTTTCAATTCAGTGCTCAATGAAATAAGAGTGTTAGGACATATTATATATAAACTGGTATGTGATGCGAATGACTAAGTTCCAGTTGAATCTTGTTATACATGTACATGTAACTGTTGATTTACATTAAACAACAAGACAACAAAAAAATTAAAAAAATATGGTCGAACATGTACTGGGTTGTTAGGTGCGATACATAAATTCTAGAAAAAACACTTTGAGGCTGTATAAACTCAAGACATTTACTATATCTGTTGAGTGAATTGACCATATTTGTGGATAAGGGTTTTTCTTTGGCTTTTGATGCTAAACTGGCAAAAAATCATTTTCGTATGAATGGCAGTTACATACAAATCAATGGCTTTTATTAAAAAGAATGACATTAGTTAAAACACCTAATAAACTGAACTGACTGACAGATGGGTAAATTTTTTTTATCTATAGACAGACTATATGCGATAAAATATTTTGATATTTGATTTTTATGCCTTAACTACAATAGCAGAGGGCATTATGTTTTAACATTTCGACCCAGATTTCACGATTCAATTAGTAAATAAATGTGACAGTACTAGCAGGGCATGGTGTAGTATGATACATATCTTGTAGCATTTGTTCATGTGTTTTTTTTTTATTTTTTCCATGATTCTTGGAAAAGATGGGTCAAATATCAACTTTATTTTTTGACAGCATTTATCAGTTATATATTCATATACAGAAGTCATCTCTCCTTAAATTTTGAAGTGTGAAGTCCCCTGCAGTAACATGTTTAAAATGGTAACACAGACCAATAGCTTTCAGAAAATTCAGTATGTAATAACGAGTTGTAAAACATTTAAAATTTCTAGCAAACTAGTTGATGAATTATTATAGCCTACTTTCAATTTATATTTCAGGTAACTGTATAGGTCAACTAATAAACCATCATCGCAGATGAACTAGAAGTAGAATTGAGGAGGTATAAATACGTGTACATGTACCTTCATTAAACCAAGTTCTGCTGTGAAGAATGTAAATTTTTACAACAGGTATATTTTTATGGTAATTTGCCAGAAAATTGTTTGAATGTAGTCTTACTGTACATACATTCATTTCATCTTCCTTTTTTCAGTTAAAACATAACACATAAATCTTCAAAATCTAGAAATTCTGGTTTCTAAGAACCCTTCTTGAAAATTTTACATAATTTTTTGGTTGGCAGTTATTAATATCTGTGACCCTGATATGTTCCATTTCATGCAGCCACAATCTTGTCTTCATTAATGACTATCACAAAATTTGACTATCAAGTCACTACATTTTTACATTAGATGATCAGCACAGCTGGTTCCACAAGTAGAGCAGGAACCATCAAGGGAATCCTTATTTGAGTTATTGTTCTTAAATGACACTTTTTGTTTCGCCTGCTATGAAAGTTGCAGAAGGTGACACATAGGAATAACTGCTCTGCCAATGACATCGTTGTTTTTGGCGTCAACAATTGTTAAGTTTTCTGCTTAAGTTAGTTTTATAAGAACTACTATTTTGTGTGAAGGTGCATTACTATCAGTTTTTTGAGGCCCTGTCCCTAGGTCATGGTCGTGTGACTTTTGATTAATAAGCAATTTTCAAGGTTAAGTTTTCTGCTTAAGTTAGTTTGACAGGAACTATTTGTAATAGATCAAATATATTTTTGGGCAGCTAAGCTGCCCATGCTAGCACACCAGATTTGCATTTCTCCTCAGGAATACTGAAATAGGTGCCATTGCCTTTATCTAGATTGCTAGTAGGTTATTTATAACTAATTGGACATTTTTTTCATGCTTTCAATTCTGGAAAACAATAAATATGTCGAGAATTACCTTAAATGATCGTCGAACAACCCCAAATAAATAACGTTGCACATAGGAAACAGTGCTCAATAGAAAGTCTTGCATTGAATTTTATCTTCTGTGCTTTTGATAAGGATGTTAAAGAACAATTGTATGAACTATTTCATTGCCAAAACTTTCTATTTACAAATCGTTTATATTTGTCAAATGGCAATAGGTGCATATATATTGTTTGGCGGTAATTTTAGATTAAAGACGAAAAGTAAATTGCAAGGATTTATAACACTTTGTGCGTTATTCATTGCAGCCTCAGAAGTAACGTCCTTGTAGTATGTGTCACCCATGCATTGATCACTTAATGTGAGAACTTCAATTTTCTTTCCTTTCTACATGTACTACACGATTCTGTTTTATTACACATAACTGGCCCTGTCAAATCTAGTACAGTTGGACGAGAAAATTCTAAGGTCACGACATTGGTCACGTGACCAAAGCTTAGTTGTTGAAAATCGTCGGACCCGATTGACAAAAAAATGACGTAGTCCGAGTGACATACATGTAGCTATCATGTCTGACTCTTTGTCCAGATAACACTTTTTAATCTTTTAGGTCTGATAAAAGTTCCTTTCTAAGTCCAATTTCAGTTTTAACAAATAATTTTGACTAGTCCCGCAGTTACTTCGTACAAGTAGAAACAAACAGTGCCAAAGTTTACATTCTGGGTATCAGTGCATCTGATGACTGCGCATGATCACTTGATGTGTTCACTCGAGTCGTCCTTGTATGTCTCTTCAAGGTTTAATATTACAATGAAAATCAGTTTTAAATACGGAAACAATAATGATACTAAAGTTGAAGCATAATATAGGGATTTCATCGACTTAAATGTCTATCCTTATAACTTGTCCATCAAAGTAGTCCGTTTTAACGATTAAAATATCGAAAAGTTAATAAAAAACCTAAATCTTTTAAAATACTTTGGACTAATAATGATGTAATTAAGTAAAAGCTAAATTAGTGATTAAAAAACCCAAATAATTGTATTGTAATCGGAAATAATATCACAGATGTTAATTAAAAAATAATATCCTGAAATAATTTTTCAGTAAAATATCGTTCGTTTGAAAGACAAATTTTCTATTTCATAATCACAATATAGAACGGAAAACAATTATCATGAAACATATGTAACAAAACCAAAAATGATTTCACAGATCTTAATTGTGAAATAATATCCTGATCATTAAGAAAATGAGGTAAGTGAAATACAAGTACAAATGAGTTGTTTTCAGATGTTAGTACAATTAAAAAAGCAAAGGTAGAAATATAGTTACATCACTACAGTAATGGAGGAATCAGAGTATGATGATATTTATTATTTATTAAAGGTGCAGTTTAATTTGTAATGTAGTTGTTGAAAATGTGACAAAATCAGATGAATCAAAACACATCAATATATGGTAAAAAAAACAATTTAAACAGCTGGATAGTATTTACCTGTGAAATACATTCAGTCTTATTAATTTTTGTCTCACCTTGACGGAGTCAAAAAGCGAGACATAGATATGCTGTTTCTGGCGTCAACGGCGTCAACAATGTATTAGTTTGTGATTAGGTCTAGTTCATGGTGAACCACTAGTGGTAGGTCAATGATATTTGGTATGCAGTTGTATTAGCATTGGCACATCTCATTACCATGGAGATTATTTCGCCCCGCCCCCTCAGTCAAGGTCTATTGACTTTGAAACTTTTCATAGTTTACATGTACTAGTTGGTGATTAGGTCAATTTATGGGGATCCACTAGTGGTAGGTCAATGATATTTGGTATGCAGTTGTATAAGCATTGGCATATCTCATTACCATGGAGATTATTTGGCTCCGCTTCCTTAGTCATGGTCTTTGTAACAGGAGGGGGTCGGTGACGACACCTCCTGGGACGTGTAGTGGCTAGTACTTCGTCCCTATTCGATCCTCGGGATACCTGATATCTGATTTTGGCAGAATAGAGACACAAATCAAATAGAACTCAACAATTTATTTACAAATGTACAACATTCAATTAGAACGGTCAAATGAAATGAAAAAGAATACTATTTCAAAAGTTAAGTTCAAAAATGAAATGGTAAAGAAAAGTATTTCAGGTCAAATTAATGAAAATAAAATAGTTATTCAAATCAAAACTTAGATAAAAAAGTAACTGTATACTTCGCGTTGTGTTTTAGAATTTAGAAAATCATATCAAAATAATGCCAATGTAGTTGCTGTTTAATAACTCGAGTGGAATGATTCATTCCTGCGAGCTGGTATATAGAGAAAACTGCCAGCTCATATATACAATGTGGGGAGTGGTTTTCACCCCACCGTAGCAACTCCTGATCAAGTGATAAGGAAAATCTTATCAATTTCAAAGATATAAATAAAAATATGGTATTAAAGAAAACTTGAATGAATTAATATTCATCAAATATATAAAGAGTAATATGAAATTTAAATACTTTTATAGTTAAATTATTAAAGCTACTTTGTATTTTAGCCTGTCTAGATCAAATTAAACATAAAATAAACATTTAATTAAGAAAATACTAATCTGAAACAATTAAAGGGAGACTACCTAAACCACATTCATTACATCTATAAACTTTGAAAATTTTGCTAAGTTAACATGTATTAGTTTGTGATTAGGTCAGTTGAAGGGGAACCATTAGTGGTAGGCCAATGTTAATTGGTGTTCAGTTGTATAAGCATTAGCACATCTCATTTCCATGGAGAATATTTGGCCCCGCCCCCTCAGTCATGGTCTATTTACTTTGAAACTTTTGCTTAGTTTAAATGTATTAGTATGTGATTAGATCAGTTTAAGATGAACTGCTAATGTTAAGTCAATGAAATTTATTGGCATTTGCAAGTATCGTTTCCATGGAGATTATATAGCCCCCACCCCTGATCATGGTTCATTGACTTTGAAACTTACATAGTTTACAAGTTAATGTTTGTGTTTGTTTAAAGGGAACAACTTATAATAAGTCAATGGTATTTGGTATGCAGTTGTATTAGCATTGGCACATCTCATTCCATGGAGATTGTTTAGCCATATACCTTCAGTCATGGTTAATCGACTTTGAATATTTGCATAACTTACATGTTAAAGTATTGCTATTTTAATTTCAACAGTTGCATTATCAAAATTACAAAAAGGCGAGACATATCTCTGTGATAACAGTTTATTAATTAATGTCATCCTTCTATTCAAAAAATTAAGAAAAAAGGAAACAATTTCACTATGAAATTTATTCTGGAATATAATATCCATAAAATGAAAATCTCTCATAATTACCTCCCTTTGATTGATAAATTATGCAAATATGTTCTACCTTGGAGATACATTTATCATTATGGTTAGGCATATATAGATTGTGAGTACCTTATATATATTGGTTCATCCGTAGCCGTAGGTGCTTGGTGTCAATATAGCATATAAAATGCGATGATACACATTTCATCTTATTAATCTCCGCGGTGAAGTGTGTATCGAATAGGTTTAAGGGCTAATTTCAGATAAGGGTTCAATAGGTACTTTTGTTTCGGCTACTGTCAAAATTGTTCATTAAATAAATTTGTAGTAGGCGTGTTATATTGGTTCATCCGTAGCCCTAGGTGCTTGGTGTCAATATAGCATATAAAATGTGACGATACATATTTCATCGTAAGCCCCAGCGGGTGAAGTGTGTATCGTATAGGTAAGTTTAAGGACATATGTTTCTTTATAGGTACAAGTAGGTAGGACTTTTTCTCATATTATTAATGTAATAAAATCTAAAATACTAGAATGTGCTAACTGAACAAAGAACTAAAAATCGCTCACATCATTGGCTTTTTCTTTTTCCAAAATTCATTTATTAAAGCCGCAAGTCAAATCAAAGACTTAAAAAATGGTACTTCGCGAGATCTGGTTTGCGCTAACCCAGTTTTAATTAGCGTGGGGCATTTGTCTTCTTGCGGACAGCGTTCCAGTGTACTAGCACTATAAAGTCCTCAATATAAGTAGCACTAGCACAAAGCAGTCAAAATTATACATACACCCTTTGGTTTTTTATTTATTTTATTTTCTTTTATTTACTTATCTTTTTTTGTACATACAAAACCTTTTACTAATTATTTTTGCAAAATCATTTGTGGGAAAAAATCACAAATTAGAACTACCTTTAATTCCATCTGC